TAAGACACTTCTTGGACACTAGAGTGAGGAGCAGCCCCTCAAGCAGGCTGAGTCTCGTCCAGCCCCACTCAGGCCACATGATGTCTCTTTGAAGATGTTCTCTGGAAAAACAACACGAAGTTCTCCTGTGGGGAAATGGACAGGAATTCAACTCAGCAATAGTTTTATTGCATACATAGCATGAAGAGTTGGGGGCTGGATTCATTAGAGCACAAAATGGGGCAACTGGGAGCATCCTAAGCGGACAGAGAAGGTTCTAAGGCACAGTGTTACTTAGAGATGTCTGATCTTGGTTTTAGTTTCTATAGATGCAGAGATAGCCTGGAAACACCAATGGGAGTGGAAATGTGAGGCAAGGAAAAGAAGGCAGACAACAGGACACATCATTAGGGTCATTCTCACTAGGGATAACTGGAGCATAATCCCATTGGAGAATCTGGAAGCCAGCATAGACCACCACTCAGAATGAGCCCAACCAAGGAGAAAGGAGACAGCTGTTTACATACCAACATGTGCCTGCCATTGGTGAGGGCCACCCAGAATGTGGGCAACTGGGGCTTCAGCCTCCAGCTAGCTTCCTTAGCTGGCTGGACATTAAGAAGTCACTCACTACAATGTACATTCCAAGGAGAGGCGGTCAGGGTGAGGACAGTGTCTACTTTAAGCTCTCAATCTTTTTTTTATTTTTTATATATATTTTGAGACAGGATCTCGCTAAGCCTCTACATTGCCCAGGCTGGCCTAAACTTAACAGTCCTCTTGCCTCAGCCTTCCAAAGTGGTAGGATTATGGGAATACAACGTGATGCCCTGCTAGAGCCCTCAGTCTTTAATTGCCCAGCCCATTCATTTCTGCCCTTCGTCTCCACTTAGTCTCCACTTCATCATTCATTTAATGAGCACCAACTCTCTGCCAGGCAATGAGACCCATCATCCTAACACAGAACTTTAGAAGAGGGTGGGGGCTTGGGGATTATTTGATCCAAAATTAAACATGCATAGAAATGACAGAGGAGGTGAATTGCACACTGTGGGGCCAAATCTACAGAGAGAGAAAGTGCATAGCAGAAATTTACCTTTTATCAAGCACCTCAGTGATTCTTGAATGTACTTTGAAAGTGGATTCCATCCAATCCTCTCAATTTGTAAGAAAATGAAGACTCAAATCTGGTGATAATCATAGCACAGCTACAGTATTTTAGGCAGTTTTCATGCCTTTCTGTGCCTCGGCTTTCTCTCTGCCAGGATCCCGCTACCCCCTGCCTCTACACCCAAGCCCATGGTCGGGAATTCAACTCTTGGCTGCCTAGCAAGTCCTTGTCCACCCTCAAGATCCAGCTCTAACCTGGCTGCCACCGAGGGATTTAATAACACCTGGCCCTGCTGTGCTCACTCAAGTTCTGTGACAGCCCTTGGTGTGACTGTCACTATATTTCCTCATGATTATCTTCATATCTGCCCATATCTCCCACTAGAGGATTTTGAGCTTAAATTTTCTAATTTACACAGATTTCATCTCCACTGACCAGTGTAAATGCTTCCCTGACCACAAAAAGCACAGATCTTCCCGACTAAGTCCATCGGAGGACAGCACACAGAACCTGAGTTCACCGCCCAACTTTGTGGAATGCTCAGCCCGGCAGCCATAAGGGTCAGGAGAGGACACACTGAAACCCATTTGGACTCTATGGACACTCCAGCCCTACAGGACCAGTGGGGCACTGTCCCCATGAGAGAGGCAATTCTATATGTGAAAATCAAAAGCTGTCTTCTTAGACTTAAAACAACAGCACTGGTTTCAAGAATTGCTTAACACTGTCTTCATGAAGCTCTTCATGAGCCTCCGTTTCAGCCATCTTCAATATTCTCCCTCAGAGAAATTAGACTTAGCAGTTTTGGCATGAAGAGAACAAGGAAAAGATTACAGAGGAACATCTGAGACATTTTTTCCGCAGGTAGAAGACTGAGACACTTTATTGTACATCAAGAGAACCTGTAAATATCTGGAGTGGACTCCTACCCACCCAGCTATAAAACTGTCAACAATGTGATATCATTTACACTCCTGTTTGAAGTATTGTTTATAATTGACTGTATAGGCTGGCCAGCTTCCTTTTATAGTTCCAATTTCAAAGCTTTATCATTTCTCTTTCATATTGCAGTTTCTCTGGGATGTCTAGCAAGTGCCATAGTGGATTAAAGAAAAACTGAGTGGGTTTCCAAAAGCTACAAGTGTTCGGGTTTTGCGTCCTGGCTCCCTCTCCATACTGCATATGCCTGTCATTCTCTGCCTTCCTTTCTGTGAGGGCTGGGGCTCCCAGGAGGACACAGTGGATACCAAGAATAGTTTGAAATAAACTTCTTATCTCCATTTGCTTTCTGTGCCCAGGATTTTAAACAAATATCCCTTAGTCCTGGTGTGTTTTAGGCAACTTCCTGGGAACAGGAACCTCATTGCTTTTGCTTTTGGCACAACTGCAGTTTCTTATGTGGACCCTGAGACGTAGAAGGTACATACTAAATGTATGCACAAAAGTATAGATGGATGGCTAACTCCTAAGAGTCCTACTCTTACTTTACAGAAGAATTAGCTGAGAACCAAAGTCATTCAACTAAGTTAATCAGATTCATGTCATCAAGAGTAGTCATAATACATATACATATACACCATATACCTATATATTATATACATATACATCATACACAGTGCATACATATACATAATATACATATACACCACATATGTATACATTGTATACATTTACATCATATACATATACACCTAATAGGAGAGCACAGAGGAGAATACCAGCATCAGAGGATACAATGGAATTGATTTATGGAACTGTGACATTCTAGCTGGGAAATGGTGACACATCATGAGATCTGAGTCAAAATAACTCCTTTGGAGCCTTAACTTTTATTCCATGATCTATTAACTGTGTGACATTTGTGTTAACTGCCTCAAAGTCTCTAGGTCACAGGTTTCACAGGCTCCTTCATATGCCTGTAGTGGGTGGACAAGGGATTCAGGTACAGAGAGATGGCACTGCCCTGCTGGCGAGGAGTCTTCCCCAGGAAACACACAGCAGTCTGCCAGCACTGGCTGTCTGCCTGGGCTTCACACTCCCAGATAGACACTCCCATAATCCCATGCTTGGTTCTTTATGGTGACAGTGTCACAGTGATGAAGTTGGTATCTAAAGCCTTCCTACAAAGAAAACTTCAGGTTTTATTGCTTTTACCAAATATTTAGGAAAGAAAAGAAAAATACCAATCTGACTCAAACACTTCCAGAAAATGCAAGAGGAAAGAATACACCTCCAACTCACATGACGAGGGCAGTATAAGCTGCTGCTGAAACCTGGAAAGAATTCATCAGTCACCAGAGTGCACATCAGTATCACAGGAACCAATTGTGCATGTGTGGATAACATTTGTCTCTCCTTTCCTTGGAGAAGACAAGGAACCTTCCCAAAAGCACAGAGCTGCACAGCAGCAGATTTGGGGTATAAGTCTGGGCCTCTCGGACTCCAGTCTCCTGCTTCTACCCATTTGTTAGTAGGGCCTCCTTCTACCATGACAATAATGTCGAGTCTGCTGGAATGGATTGCTCACAGGAAAGCTTGACGGCAGACAGGAAAGCCTGATGCATCCTTGGGCCACAGAGCTGGCAGCCACCTCCTCTCAAGCACAGCAGCTCCTCTTTGTCCTCACCCTCAGCCTTCAAGGTTGCTTTAAATTCCTCAAGTGACCAGAACACATTCATCACTGCCAGCCACAGCCTGGGTTTTAAGAACACAGTGTCAGCGCAGTTGAAACCAACAGAGTCACAGATGTTTAAGAATCTCAATGCCCCGGAGACACAGATGTTCTAGAAAGGCCCAGATTGAAGCCAAATAAACACTGAGGTGGCTTGACATGTTGCCAGTGCATGTCTTGCTTATTAGTGAAACAGTCCCCTGTAAGCAGAGAAAGGAGACCAAATAATTAAGCAGAAGCAGCTGGAGTCACGTGCCGGGGCCATCTTCCCACCTGGCTGCCTTGTACCCTCTTTAGCAACCTCTCTCGAACCTCAGAGGGAGAAGGGAAGTCATCTCACAGAGCATCAACTGTCTGGCAGTCTGGCCCCTGACTGTCAGTACCCTGATGGATGTGTGCTGGGAAGAGAATGACTCTTACTCTGTCCGCCCCTTCAGGGATGGGCTCTCTGCTCTGCAGCTTTCCACCTCAAACCCTCTTCAGAATGCGGGTGGAGTGACACAAAATTAACACCCAGCTCCCAAAGCCAGCTCTGCTTAGCCACTCGTAGCAGAGGTTAAGGGCACTGCATTAGTGTCAAGATGAGAAATTGTTCTTAGGAGATGAGCCACTCTGAAATCTAAAGCTGGAAGGGAGTAGTAAAACACTGTTGACTCCATAGTACTCTGCAAGTCCTCAGGACAAACTTTACATCCACTTATGTAACCTCCTTATAAATGTGTACAGCTGGAGATGTGCTATAGCTTTCTCCTAGCCCAAAACACATTTATATGAATCCCTAAAGATTGCTTCTTCTTCCAAGCATTGCAGACTAGTGCAGGAGTATGACGGGAGCATAGAGGCAGATTCCAGAGTACCCAGTTCTCCATGCCCAAGGCCCTCGTCCCCTAGGCAGTCATAAGCAGATGCTTTGCCCTCCAGCCACATTACAGTGGGAAGCATTGGAGCTTGAAACACCTACTCAAACAACCAGGCAGAATCTCATAGGCCCACGTTAGCAGTTTAGAGTCAAAGGAAGCCCAGAGAAAAGAACATCACTAGGTGGGAATCTAATAACAAGGATGATGGTAGAAATGCGAACTGACATGGTTATAGCAACCAACCTCCAAGATGATCACGGATGATCCCTCCCCTCTGGTTTTCAACACCCATTGTAATCTCCAATTAAATAGGGTTGACCTGTATAATTAATAGAAATGAGGGAGTGTGGCTGCCTAGACAAGATCAAAAATGACTGTATGCTTTTACAGATCATTCATTCTGGAGAAAGCCAGCTCCCATGTCATGGGGGCATCTGACCAGCCCTCTGGAGAGACGCATACAGCAAGGGCCCAAAGCCTCCCTCCAACAGCCCGTGAGGGAGCCATCTTGGAAGCGAGCTTTCCAGCCCCACCCAAGTCTTCGGACTTCTGCAGCCTCCAGGCCATCTGGGTATGCCTTCAAGAGAGCCACCGAGCCAGGAGCACGAAGATAAGCTACTCCCAGATTCTTGACCTACAAAAACCAAGAGACAATGTTTACTCTAAACTGATTTTAAGCAGCTAAATTGTGTGGTAATTTCTTACATATCAGTAGGTGATTAATATACAGGTCCTTTAAAAAGGGGGAGAATTTTAACGCTCCGAAGTGGTGAGGAAGAGGGTCCCTAGAGATAGGAAGAGTGGTGAGATCAAGAAAAGACAAAGTCACAAGATCTTTCTAGAGGAATGAGGATATGTCTCCCACAAAAGAGCAGAAGACGTTCTCTACTGCAGAGTCTTTTTCAGGTGAGAACTGTCTTGTGGGGATGGAAACTGGTTTTGAGTTTACCAGACAGCTGGAGTATCACCAAGCCCTCCCGCAGGAAAGCAGAGCAGCAGCTGTTTTGCAGAGCACAGCCTGGAGTCTCTACCTCTAAGTTCACAACAGCCGCTTGCACAGGACTACTCCAAAGGGCACACAAGGTTAGAAAAGAAAATGTAGATGTGTGTTCCGAACTACAGAAGATGGTCCACCCTAAGCAATAGCATGAGGCAAGAAAGGGCAGGAACAGGAATAGGGAGGAGAGCATTTGCCTTTTTTCCCTGAAAATCTGTAATGTTCAATTTTTATAAAAAAGGGCTAAGAAGAAATATTCTCATTTCTAGCTTAGTCAGCAAAGATGATATTTTAAATTATTTTATCAGTACAGAGGTTCCTCAAAAAATTAGAAATAAAGCTACCATATGATCCAGCAGTTCCACTGCTATATCTATGAAAATGAAGTTATCATACCAAGAAGATGCTTGCACTCCCATGTTGATGACAGCACTATACAGAGTAGCCAACATATGGAATCAATCCAAAAGCACTTCAGTGGACAAATGCATAATGGAATTCTTGCAGGAAAATATGTGGTATATTTACACCATGGAATATAATTCAGCCATAAAAAAGAATGAAATCCTGTCATTTGCAGCAGTGCAGATGGAACTGGAGACCATTACATTAAGTGAAACAAGCCCAGTACAGAAAGTCAGTTACCGCATGTTCTCATCCATCTGTGGAAACGGGTAAGCAGAATGGAAAAACGGTCACTAGAGACTAGCAAGGGGAAAGGGGAGAACAGAAGGAAACTCAATGCAGGAGCATTAGATGCAATTAGAGTGAAGGAATCACTCCTGTTTTTCTCTAGCACAATAAGGTAGCTACATTGGCCAAAACACTTATAATACATTTCAAATTGAGGAGAAAAAACCATGAGACTCCCAACATATAAAAATGTTTGGGATTGAAAAAATAGGATTGTTTTCCCTGATTTGATTAATATGCTTTTATGGCTTTCATCTAGACATTCCCCACACACACACACACAAAGCCTCGTACACTCGTAGAGGAGCTTTTCAGAGCTGGCTAGATCTAGGGTGTATGAATATGGATTGAGGGTGTGTGACAACTAAATTAGTCTGCTGATTGGTTTAGCATGGTTCTGGGTATGGATAATGGGAAGCCCCACCCTGCTGGGTGGCACCATTCAATAGGCTTGTAGCCTGGATCCAATAACAGGGAAAGGGAGGCTGCTGCGTCTTTACTACTTCCTGCCTGCCCTGCCTTGGGCTTTCTCTTCTACGATGCCCCTCTGCCATGCCACTCTACTTTGGAGCCAACTGACTATGGACTGAAACCTCTACAAACTGTGAGCTTAAAATAAATCCCTCCTCCTTTAACTTATGTGTGTCAAATATTTTGTTCCATCAAAGAGAAAATAACTATAATATATGCCTCTTTTACATGTAATGAGGTACCCTAATGGAGTCCATGAAGATGTACAAGTTTAGAAAGTAACAATATTTTTCATTTTTTAGGAACCCAAAGCTAAGAATGATGGTTGATCTGACCAATGACATGAAGAATACAGGTCTCTCCCCCTTTATGTTCAGGAAACCTGTGTAATTTCTTTTCTGCATGAGAAAGAAATCTCTCCCATTTTCACCACAGAGACTCTCCAACCAGTTCCTGTGCTAGGGGAGGAAGCATGAAAGGAAGGGACTTTGTCCTCCTGGAATCCACCAACGGGAGGAAGTATTTGCTTCCTATAGACTCAGAACACAAGCCTACTTCACTGAGTTCTCTGAAAGGGTCCCCACAGCCAGCTCTCCTGGAGGCACAATGGGAACTGTCCTCTCTGACAGCCACCTGGATTCCCGGGGGACTGTGCAGAATCACTTCTAAAGCCCTGCAGACTTACAGCTGAATATGTTTATAACAGATCTTCAGGTGGAAGAGCAGAAGCCATATTTTAAGAAAATGGATGGCAAAAGGCAAGAGAGTTGCAAGTCCACTCCAGCTCTAATGAGGAGGTATGTATTGTATAAGTTTAAGGGAAATCTCAATGGAAACAACAGTTCTGAACAACTCAGGTGCTCTTGCCAGAAATCCCACTGTTCAGAGTGAGCCACAAATCCCTATCAAGCCCTAAAGACACAGCCCATTCTAACACTTTCCTGTCTTTTACTCTGCTTTGTGATGAGAAAATTAAAAAACCTGAAATCCAGAGGTGAATACTTGGAAAAGCTAACATGCCCTTTCCGTACAAAAATGCGCAGGAATGCTTTTAAAGACAGTGAAAGGATGGGAGAAAAACTGCCACAATTCAGGTCCCCCAAGTCCCAGGACTGAGAGTACCTGAATTTGTGTTCCAAGGTACTTAGACTCTGAGAAGAACTAAACTGATTTAACCTGCAAGAGACAGGTAAACCACAAATTTAGTCTGAGATGGACAGCACGGAAAATACCTAATGCATATAACAAATTGTATAAACTTGGACAACATCCCCTGGGTCTCAGTTTTCTGGACCATAGGAAGAACTTATCCTCCAAGGTCTGTCTCACTCTAACTTTATGTAACCTGCTGCTCTCTGAGCTTGCTGGCTCCCTTTCTCCCCTCTACTCCAGTGGCCAACCACAGTCTAGATGTGTGAAATCACTAATAACCTTCATGGGAAAAAGAATTTAGCTCAACTACAGAGTGGTTCCTATTTGTGTTGTACATACATTTCTTCCCCCACAGAACTACTATCAAAGTCATAAAGCCCAAATGAGGACACATCTTATCTCATCTTCCTTTATGTTTTGCCAACAACTTCTTACTGTTAGCTGAAAATGTCTCATGGTTCCAGAGTGATTTTTCTCCTCTCCTCCCAATGGGGTGACTTTATTTCCCACTGTGGCTCAGGAAAAAAGAGGAAGGAAATCATAATTCCACTTATCAGGCAGATGTTGGCTATTAGTCAGCAATGAATTCCAGAGTAGTGTGCACACAAAGGAGGAGCTGTCCATGTAGAAGAACTGTCCCCCTTCTACTAATTCCAGGACTTTAAATCCTTTCATTGCTCAAGTTCAGAGGATTCCCGTTCTTCAGAAAATGAACATATGTAAAACAGGCTTACATTAAAATTATAGATTTGGGAACTTGGAAGGAACTCGAAGATCATGTGTTTCAACAATGTCATACAGATGCAGAAAGTAAGATCCCAAGCTATGCAGCTAGGAAGCGGCTGAGATGCGATGCAGGATCACACTCACAGCCAAGGGCCAGCGTCCTCTGGGAACAGAGCCTCACCTGGGTTCTGCTTAATGGGCCTTTATTCAAGTCAGTTGCCTCTCTTTGGACTCAGTCGTTTCATCTGTGAAATGAATTCCTTGTAGAGTTACTCTAAGAATCAAATAGACACAATTGCGGGTCTCAAACATCCTGAATCAGTAGTGGGGGTGGGGGTCAGGCATAAATTCTACATTTCTAACAATCCCTTAGGTGAGGCCACTTCTTCAAGTAAACAGATGTGGCCTTGAAACAGTTCACCAGTACAGGCCGCGAATCCCTTGTCCTGATGGCGTTCTTATAGCCGCGGCCACTGCTGCAGTGGGAAGGGGCAGCAGCATCACTGGTGCCACCCAGGAGGAGCACAGACTGCAGTGCGGAAACTTCATCCAGACTCCAGCAAAGACTTTCTGCCACAGAGTCTAACACACATCTGGAATCACTATGACAGGTTCATCTTAACGGTGAGCAAACAGCCAGAGGACAAGAAAGAAATACAGGAGATTGGGTGCGGGGCAGTGGAAACAGAACTGAGAGTAGCACATTACGCATGATTACCCTTGTCTAATTATCAGGCAGCCCCCATTCTGCGCAGGAGAGGGACTTTTCTGGGAGGTTATGGATGCATTCTGTGTGCCCCTAGACTCCCATGTGTGTACTCTCACTCTGGTGTGACAGCGTAGGAAGCAGAGCTTGGAGGTGGTCAGGGTTAGATGAGCTCAAAAGGATGGGGCCTTCCTAATGGGATTAATCCCTCATGAGAGACATAAGAGCACATTCTTCCTACCCTTTCTTTCTTTCTCTCTCTCTCTCTCTCTCTCCCTTTCTTCACCAGGTAAGGACATAGCAAGAAGGCAGCCCTCTGCACATCAGGAAGCAAACCCTCACCATCTTGGATTTCCCAGATCCTAGAACTGTAAAAAAGTTAATGTCTATGTTTTAAGCCCTCCAGTCCAGGGAGTTTGTCACAGTAGCATGACCAGGCAAAACCAGAGGGGAAAATATTTCTCTCGACAATATATAGATAGATATATGGGGTTTAAAGTCTTAGCTATGGGCAAGAGCAAGTACCAAAGTAACCGCCATCATCACAAGAGTGTGTCCACCCCAGAGACGTAGAGTAAATGAGGTGCTTTCATAATATACGTAATGCCACGACAACAGGAGCAAAACAGTGCATCCTGTGCTAGCTAGATCACACGTCCTCTACGTCTCGATGCCCATGGGGCGGGGAACTCCCCTGAGCATCATATCTGAAGCTCTTAGGCCTGAACTGTGTCTGCCATGGGTCTGACACTCACCAGGCTGCAGGGCAGCAAGCCCCTGAATAGGGCCAGGGTCAGCAAGGTCTCACCACAGAGAGCCACATAGTTTAGGCTTTGTGGGCCACACATGGTATCTTTCACATATTCTTTTTTTCTTATTTCTAACTTTTTAAAAGTATAAAAACCATTCTTTACCCTCAGACCATACAAAAAATACATGGCAGTCTGGACTGACTCCAGTTAATCGCAAAGTTTCTCTATTGAAACTGAATAGATTTTAGAATCCCGGCTCCCTCCACCCCATCAGCTGAGTAATCCCAAGTAATCACTTAACTCCTCTGTGCCTCAGTTTCCTCATCTGTAGTAGGAACATATTAATGGTACCTTTTTTATGGTTGAAAGGACTGAGTACAAGTAAAGCTTTGGAATAGTGCCTGGAATGTGTGCATATATTACTTGCCATTCACAGTAGAGGTCTGTACGTGTGTACACATGCTGTATATAAATGCATGTATATGCAAACAGTCATGGGTTCAGTGACTTCCAGTTCCCTTCTCCAATGCCAGTGTGATTCTAAAGAAAAGGCAACTGTCCTTTCTTGTCAGACTCGTCTAGAAGTCTCTGAAGAATTTTGCCTGACGTTTCCTGCAGGACACTATTCCTACCTGTGTAATTAACCACAAATTGGGTGACAGACAGGACATCACTGCTGCATATATGAAATGAAATAATGTGGAAACAAAAAGTGTTTTTATGTATAGCTTTGGTAACAAGCTAGCTGTGCTCCAGCCACATTTCCCCTACCCACTAACCTAATACAATAAAAGTCAAGTGGAGAAAAACTCAAGGTTTTTCTAAAAGTGTGCATTGTGGAGAGAAGGAAGCATTTCATTGTTTTGTTTTGTTTATTTTAATTCCATTAATAAATGGCCTCAGGCCACATGCTTGGCCCAACAGCCCAAGTCAGGGTCAAATCCATTTCAGTCACATGCCCTTCATCTAACAGAAAGCAAGAGAGGGGAGAGGTAGAGATTTTCCTGTGACTGGAAAATGCCAGCTCAGACTGACAAGGGTTTTTGTCAGTATAAAACCCCTGGAAACACTGCAAGGAAAACCATTGTTCAAGATAAATTGTCAGTGAATTTAAGAGCAAATACACCATGGTGTCTGAACGATACCAGTCACTTCAGGAGCAGCCATGAACTGTGAGTCTGAGGGCTTCATAGTAAAGAACCAGAAGACCAACAAGAGTCCCAAGGGCTGGATATAAGCACAGGACACCCACCACTAACGTCTGGTGCTGGTCCTAAACACTCAGTCAGGAAAACTCTCACTAAGTTACAGTTATTTTTCTTAGGGACAATAACACATCTCCCTACTGTACTTGTGTCAGTCACCGATTTATTGCCTCTCAGCTCCAAGTCTGGCCTTCACCACCTGCTCTGAAATAATGGACAAGACCCTTCTCACCATTTGCCTTTTCAAGGAATGCAGTGATGGGCACTGTCAGTACACACCACTGAGGGATGCAGCAGAAGGGTGGTTTCCCTTTCCACCTGGATTCATGTCCATAGGCCACTGCAGCACGCACAGTGTGTTTGTTGTTTTACAGTCCACCGCGGTGAACAGAGCGTGGCATCTTCCCATGGGCTGCTTCTAAAACAACCCCTTCAAGTGGCTTCACAGTGCATGCTGAGGTACAGAACCTCCCTTTGGACATTGGCCCCAACGTAACAGACAGAGGTTTCCAGCAAGTCAATCAGTGTGGCCTGCAGCAAATTCTGCATCTTGGGATCCATGATGGCACTGTCTCCCTTTGGGTCTGAACCTTTCTGCTCTTCTGTGGCACTGTGTCCCCACCATAGGAAATATAGCTGCTCCCATATCTGCTGTCCCTCTGTGTTTCAGACTTGTCTGGACCTCTTACCAGCCGATCTTCCTATTTCTTCAGTTTTCTATTGTCTTAGTTACTTTCCTCATCACTGACACAAAATATCCAACACCCAAAGTTAAAGGCAGAAAGGTTTTTTTAGCTCACAGTTTGTAGAGGTCTTAGCCTATAATCAGGTGGCTCCAAGGCAGGTGGCATAGAGGGGCATCACCGATGAGAAGCAGTCATGGCAGGCAGAAGGTAGCAAAAGCAAGCAAGCAAGGGACCTTAACAGCATCTTATTAGCCCTTATATCTTATCCAGACTACTCAGGGAGGGTAGCACTCACACCTCTAACCCTAGTGCCCTTGAGCCTAGCACTGCAGGATGACTCAATCCCAGAGTCACACAATCTAGATCCAGCCACTGCTGAAAAAACTCCACCTGTGACTGTATGAGGCTTTGGAGGGACATCTAGACACAAGCCATAATACCTACTGACAACTCTTTATATTGAAATTTTTTGTTCACATTAGTGTGTAACTTGTCTTCTGATTGGACCTTGTGTTTTAAGAAATGTCAAAAAATTTTTGATGGATTTGACTAGGATAGAATGAGTGGAAAAGTAAAATAAACATTATTTAGGGTATTTGGGGTCAAAGTAACCCCAAAGGACAAGAAAAGAGTATCTTAGCATTTACTGGCTCTCCTGGGTACTAGGCTATTGTACATTTTAATTTGCAAGATGAGTGAAACAACGTGACCACCCATTGCACGTGAGAAGACAGAGGCCCAAAGAGGTTACAGTACCAGCTCGGGTAATACGGCAGCAGGTGACAGAGCTAGAATTTATCTCATTCTGTAACAGCACTGCAACATGGAGCTTTAAAAGTTAGATGGGGTTTTTTTAGAGAGATAAGCAATTTCCTCACATTTCCTACCGCTGAGCCCATAAACAACACACTTTGGTCTCTTCAGCCCCCAAAAAAGGATAGGATATACAAGTGCTGACACCAGTCATTTGGAGTCATTTTCTTGCCACAGGAAAAGGGACACTGAGCTGAAGAAGGCTGAAGTGACAAAGCAGGGGTGACATCTGAGTTATCCCACTGTGCCCCTCCCCTCTGTTCCTTCTATAAAAGTCCCTTGCCCACCTGTATACGAGGAGATGATTTGAGACAAATGGGCCCTCCATTTCCTAGGAGACAACTTTGAATACATCCCTTTTTTCATCCAGATATATGGCCTCATTTGATTTGGTCAGTGGCAAAAAGATCAACCTGAGCATATGAGCCTAAGCAGCTGGTAAGTTTCGCTTCCTGACACTGCCTTGTTGATCATATTTCAGCTTGTTTTAAAGCCTTGGTTTATACCCTAAGCTTTTCCTATTTGAACATCCAAAGCCTTTCTTACCCTTGCAACTTCTATAGCACTTAGCAATATTGATAGAGTCAACACAGAGAAATGCACACAAACACACACACAGGCATGTACGCATACAACCCCATGCCTTTACCTGGACATGTCCTTAGGTTCCACTGGAATAATTCCTTCCTCAAATAAGATAGCAAGCCTTGTCAATATGAACATCTTTCATACATGCATCCAATATTGATTTCTTGGGCACCCTTATTATCTCCTCTTCATAACACTGCTTGCATGTGTATGATTGATTCATGTCTGTATCTGTTTTTCTTTTATTTTATATATGTATGCCATTATTTTTCCAGCAAAGAAAAGAAGATGCACACAAGTGGAATTGATGATTCACTAATCACTCAGCAAAGTAACAACCACCCCTCTGCCACACTCCGTGTGGTGAGCCAGGCACACAGCATGAACAAGGCAGCCACAGCTCCACTCTAGTGGTGCTTTCCCATGACCCGAAGGGCTGCTGTCTCCAAGCCTTCTAGACACCACGTTCTGTTAGGGAGGCATTACACTTTCTATCTAGATGCCTCCCCAAAGCCTCATGTGCTCAGAGGTGGGACTTTGGGGGTGATTGGATCAAGGGAACACTGTTCTCTTTGGTGGATTCATCCACTGATGAGTTTATAGGTAAATGTGCCTCAGTTACTCTCTCATCACTGAGGCTGAATACCCCACAAGCACAAGTTAAAGGAGGAAAGGTTTATTTGGCTCACAGTTTGTAGAAGGTTCAGTCCATGGTCTGCTGGCTCGAAAACAGGGCAGCAGGGCAGAGGAGCCCGGCAGAGGAGCATCAGCCTGTGGCATGGCAAACAGGAAGCAGAGAACAAGATTGAGGGAGGAGCGGGGAGAGATAGACCTCTCTAGACTACCCCCCATTGGCTTACCTCCTCCAGTCAGGCTCCACCTCCCAACAGCACACTCAGCCATGAACTCATCAGTGAGCTAATGCACTAATGATATCATTCCACCACGGTCCAGTCACCTCACCAAACTCTCACCTAAGAGCTCATGAGGCTTTGGGGAGCATCCGATATAAACCAAAATAGAACAGGTGGATCACAGGGTGCATGGCCTGGAAGGGTCGATCTTCTTTCCTAGCTCTTCCCTTGGCTTCTGCTTCCTAGCTGCCATGAGGCGGGGAGCCCTCCTCTGCCCAGGCCCTCCCACCATGCTGATTCTTCCCAGAGCCACCCAACCATGTTAGGCCTGAAACTTCTGAACCATGAGCCAAAACACCTCTCCTCCTCCTCCTTTAAGTTGTGGGTATCAAGGATCTTGTCCCAGTGACAAGGAAAATGACTAAGATAGGAGAGGTATTTTGTCTTCCAGAGTCAAAACTGGGGTGAATTCTCAGAACCTCCAAGTCCTATCCTCTCCCTGAAATTGTCTCATAGCTTCAGCCACAGGATACAGGGGCCACTGAAGTGGTTGCTGAACGAGTATGTGATTATTGCAGGAAAACAGGGCACTATGAGCATTTAAAAGCTAAAGATATATTACCATTTTATATTCCTCCTTGGGCTAAGAGCCAGAAAGTTGTCTTGAATTTGACTCTTTTCTCAAACTTCTACATGTAGCCAACAAGAATTTTCATTTTAAGCATAATCCTTTCTTTACCTTTCATAAGTGAAGCATTCGCTGCCAGTTGAGAAGGTAACATCCTTGGCTTTGGGAACTCCAGCAGGAACAGGGGGCTCTGTGGTCTACGCCAGAGGTCTGGCACATAGCAAACCTATCACTCACAGAAGAGAATGGCTGGGCTCCTGCTGAGAAACAGGCTGAAGAGCAAGCAAGGCCCAGGTGTGCTCCCTAGTTACGTGCCATGGAGTGAATTCGCCATTCATGAGAAGACAGTGAGCAGGAAATTACCATTTCTCTGACCCACACCCAACCACTGTGGTACTGTTTATAATTTTTTAGTGGGGTACAGGAGGGGAGGCATCAAACTCAGGACCTTGCGATTGCCACGCAGGCTCTTGTGCCACTGAGCTATATCTCCGGCCCCCTGCAGCACTATTTATCACATGCCAGTTTAAGCAGAAGAAACCAAGGAAGCAGAAATAGGCTGAAAATAGCAAAAGTGAGAGAAAGGATAATGGGCAAGATTCAGGAATTACTGACCTGCCTTACACATTTTATGCACATTACTACTTCAGTTCTCACACAAAGGATTACACAAATGAGGAAACCGAGGCCCAGCAATGTTGAGAACTCACTCAGAGCCATACCCTACCCCTGCCTTTTTATTTCTCACTTTTCCTCTTTGCTACCACACTGGGCTGGCTTCCTGCCAGACAGAAGGAAGAGGGTGAGCATCATGATCTCAGCTGCACTCAAGAGCCAGAAAAATGGACTTAAAGTGGGTTGGGTCCCAAAGATCATAACAACTAGAATTGGTGACCATAAATTTACATTAGGTGTCCCCTCAAGAGACAGGCAAGTGACAAGACATACCACTGGTAACTGCAGAGTCCAAGCCTGAAATGTCACTGACCTCCCTTGCTACTGAACAGCCTCTCACCCTGGACATGAACCTCTGCACTGATTCAGTCATTCACTTATGCAACACATATCCGGGAGCCCACCCTGCACTTTGTCATAGCACTATCTCCTTCTCTTGTGATGTCTACTCTTGGTTAAAGTGATAATGGTACAGTCAAGTATGCTAAGGGCAAGTTGAAGTAAACTCTGTGGAAAGAAATAAAAGGCCTGATGAGAGCTTGTACCCAGGAAGAATCTGATTTAGAAGGAGCATCAGGCAAATTTATTCAAGAAAATGACACTCGGGCTGGCTTCTGAGGGATGAGTATCGCTTTACAAGAACTCTGGTTGGCGTAAGAGTGCCCCAGGCAGAAAGAGCACAGCCTCAATGGCTTCCCACGTGTGGAACAATCAACCAGCTACGAGCCACAGCAACCAGGTGGATGGGCCACGTTTCTCTCGTCATACAGAGTTGGGCTGTGCTTACCCATATAGTGGGTGTGGTAGAGGCAAAAGAGGATAAATTTCAAAGTGCAAGCACTTTTTCAGTTCCTATGTGTGTGACATTTTCTATTGTCCTATTGGCCAAAGAAATCACATGGCCAAGTACAGGGTCAATATGAGGACACTGCCTAAGGATGCAGGGAATTACGAGCAATTTGGGGCCATTGCTGGCGCAAAATGTCATGCCAGGCTGAAGGGGGTGCTTAGACTTCCTGGGGAGCATAGGTCAGCCTTTCCAGAGCTACAGAGAATCATCCAAGTGCAGCCTGGAATACAAATAGGGACTGGCCCCATAGGAGAGGAGTTCTTCACAGACAAGAATCATTCTATCTCCTGTGAATAGGCAAAAAAGGAAAAACATTCCTGAGATTAGCATATGCAAAAGTTTGGAAGTAAAGTGAGGAGTTTGTAAAGAAATTAAACATGCATAGTACAATTCTGTTATAGAGTGACAGGCAAAAGTGGTTAAAAATAAAACTCGAAAGATAAAAAAGGACCACATTCAAAAGGGCCTTGGAAATCACATTAGCAATCATGAGCTCTATCCCACATGTAACATTATCAGATTTATATCTAAACAGAACCCCACCTACTCAATGTGAAGGTACACAGAAACCTACGAGGAGGGACCCTAATTCATAATAGTGACCACATGGTACAGCAGCAGTAGAAATAGGAAAAGGTGTTCATAGATAAAAGGTGATCATAGATAAAAGTAGTGAATAGGGCTCTATGAGAGAATGTGTGTGTAAAGGAGGAATCAAAACACTGACTCGGATTTCCACTTGGGCAGACCGAGTAATTAGAGTCACATTTATTATTAAAGGTAGCTTTGAAAATGTAGAAAAATTAGGATGGGGAATATCACTTCAGATGTTTTGCACTGGAATTTCCCATGCACAATCACTTTACTTTGGAAAGAAATTAGACCTCTTGGGATGAATCTTAGTAGAAAAATACTAAGCTAGAGGTTACATGAATCTTCAACTAGGGCTGGCAACAGCATCAGAGGAGATGGGTGCATACGAATAGAAAAGGATCAAATACAAAATCTGGAAAAATACCAATCTGTGAGGAATATGCTGAGTAAGATGAGCCAACCAGAGAGATTGTGCCTATGCCAGAAAGGGATGAAAATCTAGAACAGCCAGAAACACAGGAGGCAGAGGAATGGCATACTTCCACAGAAGACGTCAGCAGCAGCAGACAGGAGAGCTCTGTCGTTCCCTAAGGTCAGGACCAAAGGAAAATCAATGGCTACCAACTGTGGGGAAAGGACTTGGGATGATATTTAAGAGCATGCGTGAATTGGCGTGACTACAGGAGGAAGAGCTGGGAAAATATAAAAAGCAAGTTAGAAAATGGTTTCAGCAAATCTGGCTAGAAGGAGTCTTGATCTCTTTCCCTGTTGCTGGGACAAAATCCCCAATACCCACCACTGAAAGGAGAAAAAAGTTATTTTGGCTCACACGCTAGAAGTCTCAGTCCTCAATGATAGGCAGCATGGTGGAAGCGGCTCATGTCACTGGACACAGGAAGCAGAGAGAATCAAGGGAGGAGCCAGGGAGGGAGACACATCCCCGCGGGTCACACCCATGGTGACTATGTCCTCACAGTAGGGCAGCTATGAGCTCCTCATCCAGTCACCTTCCACAAGCCCTTCCTGAGTGCTTGAGACTTTGGGGGGCATCTACATATAAACCATGAGGAGGAGAAAGGAACGATGCAGAACCAGAAGAGAGGAGCAGAATATTAAAGGATAGTTGATGTTTAAGGACTTGAGTGTGTTTAAACGTTGATGAGAAAGAGCCAAACAAAGCAAAGCATAGGACAGGGAAGAGAGAATGACAACATGTTGTTGTTGTTGTTGTTGCTGTTGTTGGTCACTGTCTTAGATGTATTCTCTTCTGCGCCTCATCTCCAGCAGGCTCGGACCTTTTACCTGACCTTGCTACACGGCCTTTCTGGGCGGGGTGACCACTCACAAAGGCTGTCCACTCAGTGACAGTGTGACCCCGACAGCCCCACCAAGCCACTAGCCACTCACTGATCACATCCTCCTCATGCTGTGTGACAGGACAGGCTAGTTGCCACCTTAAACCTTGCGATGTGAATTTGAGGACCTTGGTTTTCTGTCAGATTGCCCCGGGAGCAGCACCACCAGAGGAAACAAAACAGCCACTCCCTCCGCACCCACACGCCCCACACCCCTGCCGTGGTATCTCCTGTCTTCAGCACTTGAAGGAAGCCTCGCAGAAACCACACAGCAGCATTAAAGAGCTGGACAAAAACACTCTGCTGTAAACAGGGCACTGATGCCAAAACATGTAAAACTATTTGTATGTACTGAGTGCCGACTGGCAGAATCATCATTTTGGCCTCTGAACATGCGGGACCAAGACAAGGAAAGAAGAGGAAAAGTGTTCTTTGCAATGTGCACTGGTGATGTTTGATTGCAATGGTTGTTTCTCATTCTGGCTGTTTATGAATAATAGTGATCTTTGTTCCTTTAAAGATGAGCTAAACAAAATTACGCATCTTGAAATGATCACTCATTCTGCAGCATGGGAACATGATAGAAGCCTAAAATTCTGCTCAGTTGCCTTTATTCCAAACTCCCTTTGTATTTATAGTATTTGCCAAACATATTTTAATCCTATAAAGCCTCAAGATGTACATTTTTTGGCTCACGTATAGACAGCCTTGCTCTATTGGAAAAAGATGCCGTATGTCTTCCATTTCTAAAGCAAGCTTCTCAAAATGGCCTGGGTGGGCAGGGCCAGAAGAAACTCATGGAATGGACCCAGGGATCTATACCAGATGGCCCCACCACATAGGACATGGCCAGGGAGAGAGTCGGGAACAAAAGGAGTTGGGACAGTGACCACGGGCGGGGCCTGTGTTAGCTGACAGCAGGACCTGCCTGAGCAGATTGAGACCCGAGGAGGAGTTCTATGTCCTGAGGAGCAGTTTGAGGCCCAGAAATGATGGTCTGCTTTGGGGACCTCACAGAACCCGTCACCAACAAACAGAAGCAGATTCCTTAGGCTTATTAAATCTGTCCAGATTCTCCCAAATCAACCAATAGAAACCCTGCACACTACAATCCCCAAGTCCTGTCCTACAAAGAATCACTTGAAGGTCTCTCTGCAAAGCTGGAGTCTCTCTACTGTAGACTGAACCCAGGGCTTTCACACTGAGCTACATCCCCAACCCTTATTTTTAGATTTTTATGTTAAGCAGGATCTCACTAAGTTGCTAAGTTCCCCAGGCTGAGCTAGAACTTGCTATGCTCCTTCCTCAGCCTCCCAGAGTACTGAGATTATAGACTTGTGCCATACCCGGCTCTTCTTTCTTTGTTTTTCATAATCTAAGGTTACAGTTGCTTGGAGACAAGGACCAGAGACCACCTGTGAATGTGTCAGGGTGACACGGAGACATAGCACAAATGTAGTCTCCACCATTCTTTGCCTCTCCTCCCCTGTAAACCCATTTGTCCCACTTCCCATCTGTGTTACCTTGACCTCAAAAAACTTCCTTTTCTTATCTTTCAAGCTTCTCATCTGTAAAATGCAGAAATGATACTCTTTTCCTAGTAGGACTGAGGCCAAGTCTAAATGAGCTCATGTATCTAATGCCCTTAGCCCAGGACATGATCCACAAAGCTTTGTATAATTAGCCGCGGTTGCCCTGCCTGTTATTTGGTGAATGTTGCTGCTCTTGTTGCTCCTCCCTGCGAATGTAGTTCATTCTCTGTCATCCCCACAGTGACAAGAGCAGTGTCTGATGAATCCACACTCACTTATCCCAAAAAGTGGGGAAGAGGAGGAAAGGAAGACAGAAAAGGAAAGAAATAGGAGAAGGAACAGAATGGGCAGTGAGATGAGCTCATGCATGGAAGGGAACAGCAGTAAGAAGACCAAACCCACCTAGATCTGCTCCAGTAAAAGCAATCAATAAGATCAGTTAGGTGTGAAATGGAAGCTTCCAGGGAAGAAAGTGTTCAGCAGGCTCTGCCACTACCTTTTGTGCAATCATGGCCAAGTCCCCTAATTTCTCTAGACCTCAGTATTTTTGTCATTAAAACGGAGTAGGCAGCACTAGGACTCTAAGACTCTCTCCATCTGTAAAACGCCTTTGCTTTGATATTGCTCAGCTTCACACTCAATGCAGATGTTGGCAGGCTGAGCAGGGCAGGATGTGAGGAGGGCACCTGGGCGACTCTCCTGGAAAGAAGAGTAATTATCTCCATTTTATGTAAACCTGACCCTACTTCCATGTATTGATGTGTGCAGAGCTGGCTAGAACTTTACCTTACCCTTCAGTTGGCTTTAAGAAATGCATATCGGTCTGGAAGAGGTGCTGATGTGCACTCTCTGAAGCAAGGTGACTGGGAAGTATATTCCACCCTTTAGCTTCCAAATAAACATGTGTGAGCAGAGGCAGGACGAGGCGGGATGGAGAGCCACACTCCATGCTGTCAGTTGGGATGGAGCCTTGAGATAAGCGGCTGTGACTTCCCAGGGCATAAAACATTACACATCAGAGCTGAGACATAGACTCCAAAACATTAGATACTATCTCAATTGTGTAATGCAGATTACTCTTTCTGCATATCCTTCTCTCTGCATTTGCCAAGGTGATTTCAGGTCTCCTACTCAGCCCAACTCATGGCACTCACCTACTTCCCAAGGTTCTCACAGTCACTCATCCTCAAGCCACTCCCTTCTTCACAAATTAACAAAATCCAGGTTCAGCCCTGGGTTGAGACTTTGGTTCTGGATAGCCATCATCATGGCTGGACTTAGGACCCTTTGGCTCCCCATAACTACAAATATGCCTTAGTGTCTTTATTCTCACCATGGGTTGCGCTGGAAGTGATAGATTGGAATTAACTTGCTAGAATTCCAAGAACTTTTCCATAGGGTTACAAATATAACTTCCTGAGCCTCAGTGAGGACCAGGAAGGGCTCTTTATAGGGATGAGAATGATCTCCAGGAGTGGGTGAGAGAAACAACTCCGTATATCACAGGGTATCCGAGTCATCAAACCCATGGATCAGAGCAAACTGGTACAACCAAGCACTGAACACTTTCCAGACTTTGGCACAGTGCTATCACGTGTGTTGTTTTTTTGAGAGGAGGGATCAAAAAAATCCCCCTACAAGAAAGAATTTAACTAGTATTTCAAAACCAGTCATTCAGGTGGCAGAAAAAGAGAAAATGGGAAATGTGCATTCAAACAGCGCTGACACTTTGGGGATGTAAGTGAGAGGGGAGGCTGCACAGATAGCACACTGGGGAATCATCTGGCAAGATAACTGACTGCATCAGGAAGAGGCTGTGAGCAGCCCTGGGGGCTCAACTGCTCTGCAGCGCTCCAGCACTTAGTAGAAACAGCTATCAATAAACTTTGATGATGAGAGCCAAGAAGAATTAAAAAGAAGAGATTGATTGCTAAAGCTGTTTTCTTGCCAGAAAAGCTGATTATCATTCAGAGTTAACCTTCATAACAGATTTTAACATCTCCCTGCCGTCTCTGGCCTTCTGGGGGCCAAATGCACCCTCTAGAGTATACATCCCCCCTCTGGCTTTGGAATTTTGCCAGTTGGGGCTCCCCACCCTTTACCTTAGAGCTGTGTTCTTTCTTATAATTGTTCTTTGATTTTTTTCCCAGCCCTTCAAACTGAAGACTAACTTGAACAGCCCCTCAGAGGCCGCCTGGCAGTGGCCCAGGAAGCATCCTCTGCCCACTACCACACCCAGCCCATGCTATGAGGAAGCTCTCCCTCTGCACTTCTGAACCCCAGGTTCCTACCAGGCGGGAGAGTGTTTCCCAAACTTTTCTCACCTCCGCTGTCATCCAGTCTAGGAGCATAAGCATGAACTCAGTGGATGAACTGGACCAGCGCAGCCTCCTCTTGGTGTCCAGGGTCCTCTCCAAGGGCCCAGCCCCGAGAGCAAAGGAGCAGCATTCCCCACGGCTGCTCAGAGAAGGGGGACTTTATCTGGAAGAAGGAGCCACACTCGGAGCCTTCTTGCAGTGTGCCCCAAGCAGCCTGTGCCTGTGCTTGCCTCTTTTTCTAGAACAGCCTGGAATGCCTCCATCAGAACCAAGCCTAAGCATTTCCGTGGGATGCCTCCCCTGGCCACCTGGGGACGTGCTGCTCACCAGTGCCATATTCCTTTCTTCTAGAGAAATCACCTCAGCTCACAAATACCCATTCATCAAAGTAATTCTCTGACATCTGTCTCTCACCACACGCTAAGATCTGCAAGGCCAAGGAACTTCTTTCCTTGCTCAACACCTTGTATGGAGTCACACACATACCAATTCAGTAAGTGTTTGTTGCATGAGTTAATATACTCAGAGGACAGAAGGTGCCTCGATCACCCTGAAACTACACAGGGTCAACAGCTGTTCAGAATTTGGCTGTTCCACCACCAAGGCCCTGGAGGTTTGGGTTGAAAGTGAGGACAGTGGTTACTCGGTCCACTCTCAAGCTAAAGCAAGAAGCCCTGAGCAGCATCA